ACAGTTTCTCTCTCCCTTAACACCCCATCTCACTTCCTTTCACCCTCTCTCTCGTGCTCTGTTTCTGCCTTTCCCACTCTCTATCTGTATAATTATTGTTCGCCCCCCTCCCTCCCTTTTCCTCCTTATCCCTCTAACTCTCTTACAACCACTATATTGTCTCCTATGCTGCAGCACATCTACCATCCTTTTTCCTTCTGAATCTTTCAATTTCTTGCCCTTATCACTTCATTTGGCTTATGTTGTCTCTCTCTCTGTTTCTTTCTTTTTCCAATTTTTACTCCACGACTTTCATTGTCTTTACTCTCCACCGCTCCTGTTTCACTGGGTTTTTTCTCTATCCTCATCAGTCAAAGTGGAGGATGTTCTCCATTCTTTTCCACACTCTCCCCCATTAGCCCATTAGAAGCTGCAGCAAGATGTACATTATTCTGGTCTCAGGGGCCAAGCTATCACTTTCACTGTAGCCAGAGAGCCATAGAGAATGGCGTGTACTCCAGGCAAGGGGCCTGGCATGCCTTGTTAGGTGTGTCTCAAGCTTGAACGATTAGCAATTACACTGTCTGGCTAAACTTCTTGGGATTTGATGGAGTCAGCACGCTTGTCCAATCAGATATCAGGATGAAGTTGTTTCCCCCCTCAGAGTGACTAAGCATTTGATGCTGGGGGTTGCTTTGTCTAAGATTTGATTATAAGGCTTGTTTTCTGTTGTTCACAGGAAAAAAATTCTTCATTGTATGAAATGTAGAAATTGGCTTTGCCACCCAAATGTAAAATGAGAGTTTGTTGGGTCGTACGGCACCAAAACAAAACAGAAGTTATCTCAGGGTACTTTTCATATAGAGCAGGTCTAAGCCACAAAGTTTAGCATGATGGGTTAGTTTGGAAACATGTTGTTAATCTACAGAACATCTTTTACTCTTCATATGGTTATGCACAGTAGGTTGGTCGGTGGGGTGGGGGTTTGGTTTGTCTGTTTATTGCATGAACGTGAACGTGCACAGTGAAAGTCGAGTTAATGCTGAACTGCCTGCCTGCCGAAGATGGTAAAATCGTTATGGATGGCCACAGACCATCACTGTAGGAGAGAGAGGGAGAGTGAGGTAAACGGGTGCTTCCCTTCTGATGTTTTTTCAATTCCATTGGGCTTGAGTTTTCGAAAGGAAACAGCAGATCGTTCAGTTTAGTTAGCCACAGATCTGCGCACACAAATTCTCTAGCTGCACACACAGTCTCTCTCATAGGGGACTGGGGGGTGGGGAGATGACTGAGAAGGGACGGCAGACTCGCCAGGTTGATAAAAGGGGTGGTTTCTTCGGTCATTTTGGTTTAAAGGCGATGAGTGTGTACACATCACAATCTCTGGAATTCAGAGTAGTTTTGTTTCACACGCACTGCTCTTGCTTTGGCAAGAGAGATGTTGCCAAACCGCTGGGAAACTTTAAACTCTCTGTTGTAAACAATCAATACTTTGGTTCATGAGGCAGATTAAAGCTTTGTAATGCCACTTAAAAAGTCGCTGGGCTGTGACATTGAGCATTAACCTGTAAAAGCACTTTAGAATGTGAGCCAACATCTCTGAAAATGCATAATTATCTTTTCTGCACAACTATGACGGTGTGCAATATGTGTTTGAACAGAGTTAAAGTGGTTTTGTTGAATTTTCTTTTCTCGCTCATTCATCCAATATAGTAGATCATAGACACCTCTAATCACAGGCAGAAAACGCCTCGCCTGGCTGTTTAAATCTCCATCCCTCCTCATCCCTGACCTTAAACATCCGCAGCCTTCTGCCTTTTCTGGCCAGCTCAGCCTTGTGTAGCATCCCACCACAAACACGCAAAACCTCCTTTCATTCCTGTCCATCCCTCTGCCTCCATAACCTAAAGCCCTTCTGCAGCCCTGTAGCCCTTCAGCTCTCTGGCCTGTTACCCAGGCAGCAAAGTGATGGATTTGTTTTCATCAGACCTTGTGACCTCCCCTCTGGCCAAGCACTGGCTACACGGCCCTGACTGTGAATAACATTCGCCCCATCGCCCCACCCTCACGCCACCTCTGCAAGGACTGTAGATGACCTTTAAACCTCCATTCGCCACGAGCATATTTATTCTGTATGCAGAGAGGGAGAGAGGGTTTGAAATAACTTCAGAGGCAAGCGATTATGAGCGAGGGCAAGTTCACGCAGTGCCCATTGATCACTGTCAGCTATTTGCTGATGATAGACTCAGACATCGAAGCATAAACAGAATCTTTTTTGCAAGTGTAAGTTCTACTCTTACACTGCATACATTTCGCAGTAATACGATCTGTATTATTTAGTTAGCTGACAGTTGATGTGTCTTAAGAGCTTTATTGTGTTTTTGTAAGTCTGGAGTCAAAGCAAATTATAAATTAATTCAATTTGGATTGAAAGCTGAACCCTGCAAAGGACAGTGGTAAATAAACACAACCTTCTCACTTCTGGTGTTTTCCCATTGTATATGTCCTCCATGAAAGATCGGGAGAAGAACTTGTTTGAACACCTCCCCTGTAACCACTTTATTTCCCAGCTGCAGATTCAGCAGTATATACTACTGAATGACATGCAAAAAATAGAATCTGCAGAGTTGAAACACGGCTACAGGCTGAATTGGCTGCAGTTTATCTGGTCTGTTTGGTTACTGCTGTCACAAACCATGTCAATGAAAATGTCACGTTTTCTCTCGGCCTGGAGTCTTCAAATAAATAACATGAAGTTTCTGTTATAAACTAGGGGTGTGAACTTTGAAAATTGTGGCCTTGAATGATCACTCTAATAATTCCAGTCATCTCTGTCTGTCTGTCTGTCTGTCTGTATATGGTTGACGGCTGGGACTCAAGTGAGTCCCAAATGAGATTGATGAAATAAGCAAAGGGTGCAAGGGTGTAGCTGCCTTTTATTCAATATCTTACCAAAATGTCCAAATAGTGGGAATCAAAGAAAAGTATAAAGTCACATACTGTGAAACTCCAGTGGTTACACATCAGATATCCAAAGACAGGACCACCCACTCCAAACCATGTCCCACCTTTAGCCATGTTGGAGTAACACCATGTCCAAACTACTTATCAAGTTTCCCATACTGTACTCAGAGCATGCAGAGGTTACAGCCTTGGTATCCCCCCTGCAGCAAGATGTGTTCTTCATCATGACAGGCCCTTAGACCCTTGCAATTATCACTTGAGCTGTCTCTTTGTCTTACTCCGTCGCTTTCTCCCCTCTTGTGTTTCACCGTTTCTCTGTCTGGTCCAGTTGCTCCATCTTTCTGAGTATCTATGTGACAAGGCGTCAGTCCTCTGCATTCTTTATTTGGTCCAAGTCATTGCAAAGCTGCTCCAAACAAATATTAGAGAGTGGATGTGTGGGTATATGGACGACGAGGGGAAGCTTATTCAATTTCACTCCCTCTAGGTTTCCTCATACAGCAAAATACCAGCGTAAGAAATGTCAGACACACTCTCTGCTCCGTCTCTCCCTCACCCTGTATTTCTGTCTGGCTGTGTCTGCAGAGGCTCATTCCCTGCGCCTTTACTTTTAAAGCTTGCAATCCCCCACTGTACTTGGTTTTGACGTGCACCGAGCTTGTTTAGCCCATTGATAAGGAGGTGTGTCAGTGATGTGTGGTCAAAGTGTTCAAAGTGTTTCTCTGTGGAAGTTAGAGGTGGCTGTTTTGACAGCCAAGAAGGTGGAAGGTGGGTGTCTGAATGCTAATGCCAGCCAAAGCAGCTCAGCTGCTCCTTTCATCTGTGGAGAGCGGAGATGGAGCACAGGAGGTGAGCAGGCATCAGGAACAACATGAGGCATGAACTTCAGGTGTCAGTGTTTATTTCTACAAATCTCATGACTGCTCTTTGACTCACTTACTGAATGACTGCTTGTTTACTTTAAGAAAAGTTATTCTTATAACACAAGCCCTAAAATCCTGAATGGGTAGATTTTGCAAAACTTCACACCGGACCCGACCTGTTGCAGACTATTATCTCCAGGTCACATCTGTACCCGCCTGAACAGGTTAACATATTTCCCGTGACCCAGACCCGTCATCCGTGAGGAAACGCACCTGTTTCATACACAGTCTCTCACATTAACTTGGTTACGGCCTCCTCGTCCTCTTGTTTTGGAGGGTTTAAGTTTGAATTGTGTTCTTTGAAAAGTTTGTCACAGAACCTGCGCTCCTGCAGCTTTCAATGTCTTCCTCTGTGATGATGTGCCTAGCCTGTGGCTATCAAAAGCTAATACTGTTTGTGATCCATTGTTTATGTACATTCTAGTTTGCTGTTCTAGTTTGCTAGTTTGCTATCTGAGTGGAAATGAAGTCAAAGTTGTTGTAGGCTTTCACAATAAAACTAATTCTTTCAGATGACTGCGCATATAAACTTACACAACAACAACAACATAGTGCACATCATTTAAATATCTGATTTCTCCAGAGAAAATAATCAAACTTAAGTACTCACATGCTGCCTATCCATGTTTAGTTCATATGAATATATCTTTTATCCGTTACCAAGCTCAGTGCAGGACTCTGCACACACATACGGGGCAGCTGTGTTATTCTTTGCGAAAACATAAACATACGTGCAGGAAGCAGAGTGCCACTGTGCATTGCACACAAAGATAATTATTTTGAACGCTCCCATTAGTTTCTCTTTGTATTTTAGTCAGTTTCCCCATCCCCCTGTACTGAGAAAACCAAGCCAATTACAAAAGGAGCACTGTTCCAATTACATAAACACTGATACCAGCTTTGTGGTGGCAGCTCGTTGAATGGTGTTCTTGTTAATGCATGGCTGTAGTTTCATTCCTCCTGATCCCAAGAAAACAAGAAATGACGAAGGTCAAGTGCCTCCTGAAATAACCACAACGATTTTGTCTTTCAAGTCATTGGCATAGAGCAATATCGATCAAGGGAAGAAGAAAAGGAAGTAATAAAGAGATGCCCGGAGCAACAAATGAGGGGAGGGAGCTGGGACAGGGGGAGGAAATCATGATGGACAAACAGACAGTGAGCTAAAAGAGTGCAATAAGTGAGAAAGGCAGAACGACACAAATGGACTGAAAAGCTGTATGGTTCATTGAGTCCCCCGGCCAAACCTGCAGGTGTGACATCTGAACACTTACCATTATCAGTGTAACCTAGATTCTGCAGGGTCACAGATAGCTTCTTGAGGACAGCACATTGGGGTCAAGGAGGCTGTTGTGGAGGCTGCAGCTGCGCCTGTACCCCAGGTGTGCTGGGCGAGAGACGAGATCAGGGCCGGGTTCTCGGCAGGGCTGCGAGGGGATAAGCAAGATGATGAGTCGGTAGAGACAGGCTCACCGTGGCAGGTTTCCTCAGTCTTATGTGGCCAGTCGATGGCCTCGCTCACACTGATTGATCTATCCACACACACATATACACACACACTCTCTCTCTGTGCATCTTTACTGCAGTGGAAACATCATTATAACCAGCAGTACCTGCCTCGCGAGAATCAATTTTCATGTTGAAGCTCGGTGAGGGAATTGCTCATTCCTTTTCCTAAATGTTCTCATCATTGATCTAGGCCTTGAGTACTTTCTGATAAATGGTCTTTGCTTGTTAGGTACACATGCACACACATCCCATTTGCAATGTATTTGAATACTTGAAAAATTAGTTAGCACGAAAAAGCTGAAGACCCAACAACAATCGTATTTATTCATAATTTGTGAAATCCTGATGGACTCAGTATTTACAATCACTTCTTACACATGACTCAGAGTACTGTGCTACATTTTTGCCAGTACCAATATGTTTCAGAATATCAAAATGATTGAATAAAGATGGAGGCTACATTTGAATAATGTCAGAAAACTGCAGGTCAGGTGCTGTAATATTCTGCTTTGCCACAATTACAGCAAATTAAAATACCATTCAATAAGGCGGGTCTGTGCACATTGACCATAGTAATTAAGAGGGAGAGGATAGCGTGATGGATAAATCAGAACAGTAAATCCCTCAATGTTTGAACTTGCCTTTAAAGCTTATATAAAACAATTAGTGCTGGGAAGTCTAATTTCCAGAATTAAGGTCCAACCATTGCTTCCCTTGTGGTTGAAAACGAAATAAAAAAGCTTGAGAGTTCAGAGGCCTGACAAAGCCGATGATGAACAGCAGCCGTAGCGAAAATGTCATACATATTGAGCCCAAGCATCTGTTTGAAAAATAGCTTTCATCTTTTCACTGCATTTTCTAATCAGCTGAAACATACGTGGAGTATCTACACGCAGATTCATCAAATACGACTCTGTGATTGATTGGACTTGTTTATCGTAACAAAACAATAATGTTGTGAACCTGAGAACAGGATTAATTTAGCAGTTCAGACAGGCCTGAAAAACCCATAGATGATAATCTTTTTTAATAAACTGCCACCACGACTCCCACATGCAGATCGTTCCTTTGGAAATCAGTTGGTTTACACTCAGTAAAACTAACAAACTGATGCATTAAAGTTCAGTCCTGACCTTGGAAACAGTAGGTGGACTAAAGACAAAATCCTAATTTAAGATCCTCCCACCAGCCTTTATCCTCAGCCTGACACCACATCTCACAGACAACTGAGCACCCTCCATCTGCTGATGAAGCTCATGACTGTTCTTGTGGAAACATGTTGCCTTTTTGCTCAAACTGACTCCTACACATGTTGAACAGTTCGCCAACATTTCTGTCGGACAGTTTGTTGAAGACCACCTGCAGTTAGAATCCTGGCATTTGGATTTTAATAGCAAACTCCAACTGGACTTTTTTAACATTCACTCCTTTTTTCCTGCGTGACTTTGGTAAGGGCTGTCAGTCACTCAAATTATGTCATGAATCTCATAAATGTTCAGGGCTCTAATCGCGTGTTCATCCAATACACTGATTATACAAGAAGGGATTATTAGAAATGAATTTCTGCTGAGGGACTATGTTGACATGCAACTACATTATTACCCCATTACAGGAAAAGCAGATTAATGTAATTGTACCAGAAATTGCTGTGCTATTATGCAATGGTGTGTTTGATCTGGTTTGAGAATGAAATCTGTTACATTTTCACATCATAGACACTGCGCTGACTTACGTGGACAAAAAAGCAAATCCATATACAGAAAGCATTAAGTTTAATTATAGGTGAGGACATATTTTTATATAAGATTAAGGTTGGGATAGAGTAAGGCGTATAGGTTTGGGTTTAGATTTAAGAGTAGGTTTATGATAATGATGATGACAAATGATTGGATGAGGTTTCTAGAAGTTACGTATAAGTCAATGTCACTTTCTCCGGAGTCAAAATACATAACTTTGTGTGTCAGTGTTTGGGGTCCAGGTTTTAGTCATGTTGTGGGGACCTCAATCTGTTTGCATAGTCATATTATAGGGATTATAGGAAGAAAGTCCCTATAATGTAAATCATTACATTTTAAGCTAGGTTCCCGGCTAGGTTAGAGTTAGGCAAGTAAATATGGTTAAGGATATAGTCTCCAGGAAATCAGTGTAAATCAACTGTAATGTGAGTGTATGAACATGAACATGCATGTGTCCCTTTACATGAAACCTCTAATCAAGTACATGGAATACATGGAGTAGAATGAACTGTCAGGCGAGTGAAGCACATCTAAACGAGAAGTACCTTGATCAATTAATAATGCCACTGTATCTGCACAAACATAATATCTATGTTTTCGCTCAGAGCCACTTCCTCTCTAAATGAACTATTTTAACGGTGTGTTCAAATCTTTATAAGAAGCTCTCACTTTCCCCACTTATTTTTTTCTCTCTACTTCCTCGCCTCGCACATTATGCTTTGAACGTTCTCAGGCCTCTGTGTAGCTGCTGGAGTGAACAATATTTGCATTCATAATGAGTGCTCTTTGAAAGGCACTCTGCTGTAACAGCACAGGCTGCAGCATAAAACACAATATCAACAAAAATATACATGCATAGGCTTTTGAGGGATGTCCTCTGTAATGAGTCAAATGGGGAGTGGCAGTGCCAAGACGCCCTTTTCCAATTAATTATCTCAATATTAGGAAAGACAAGAGCATAAACATGATCTTGGTCCACCTTGGTGCCTCAATTACAGCATTCAATTGTATTATTTATGTCAGAATACTCAGCAGGCAGAGATGCAGAGGCCTGGAGAGTGTGTGTGTGTGTGTGGGGGGGGGGGGGGGGACTCGGTTTTCAAATCTAGAGAAGACAACAGTGTGAGTCAAAGGTAGCAGTAGACAACACACAACACAATATGGTAAAGAACCATCTAAGATTACAATTTAGTAATGCCAGCTCTAAAAGCTTTTTTTACAGGATTATTCCAGACATGGTGAATATTAAGCATCATCTCCTTCAACATTCCTGTAGGTGTTTCTGGTAAAAACTGGTTGGATTGATGTCTTTCATTTCAATGCTATTTGCAGAAATTTGACTCAGGTCTTTGCAGGTACAGGCTGGTTAAAACCATAAAAGAGATGATTGAGATGGGATGCAACTGATGTGTGTGTGTCATGGGGGCATGTAAAAGCATAAAATGTAGCATCTGATTTTCAAACAATTTACTGAGAAATGTGATGTCTGATTATTGATTTTCTTTTCATCTTAAATGGTTCTTTACTTTCTTTGTAAAGACCAAGAGACTGTGTGAACTATACACAGTAAAAACATGAACATGCATGTTTATGTACTATGCCTTTGTCTTTTTTGTTAGTCATCACACAAAAGCTCCAGTCATAGCCGCAGAGCTGCATTTAATCTTCCAGTTTATTATTTTATGGACCAAAAATCAACTGAGTTTTAAATGTTGTTTTTATAAAATGATTTTATGTCATTATTCTGTTTACAGCTTGTAACACACCCGCATTAATAGGGTCATTTAATTTCACTGTGTAAATGTAGAAATGTCTTTTTAAAACCTGCTATGATTCTGAAAACTATTCTTATGGATGGGATGATATTCCTTTTGCAATGCATTGTAGATGATAGGCTTTATTAAATAACTTAAAATATGTCGTTTTAGACTTTCCCCTTTACTAATGACTGGTAATGACAGTGGCAAGAGGTTGTTCAGTATGAATAACACAACTATCATGTTAATAGTACCAGTAAAATGGGGTTTATTAAACAGTCCTCACAATTTATCACAACATTTGGATGAATATGATCATTCCTCGGCATAGATTTGGTTTTTTTCACTCCATTTCCCAGAGCCCATCCAACCAGCAGCGGAGTCCCGGCCTCCTCCACCTGTAATAAATCAAGAGTGCGTACTCTGGAGTGTGTGCACTCAAACGTTTTAAGCATTGATGAGGGGTTTGTAATGGCCAGAAAATTTGAAATACAAAAAAATACAAAAGTTATTATTATGATCTTTTGTTGTGGTTTAATGATGTTTTCCAACTTTGTGAAGCAGCAGTATGCCAGTGAGAGGAGAGGGGACTGTCCTACTGCAATTTGTCTATTTCTATCGCCATGCATAATTTAAAACACAGGGCTATTTTAGGACATTATGCAGGCTGGCAAGTGAGCGTTAGCGAGAGAATCTGAGTACAAGACTAATGGTGACAATGGCTGCAATTATATACTATATACTATCCTATATTTAGATTTTTGGCCGACAAAGTCACTCCCATCTCCCTTAAACACTTTTTTTCACTTTGAAAGAAAGGGAGCCATCTCATGTCTTTCTTTTCCATTTCTCTATTTCTCTACATCTCTTTCTCTCTCTTTTAGTCTGTGTTAGCGTCTGTGTCTGAGGGGGCTCTAAGTTATCTTAGCTCTGTGTACCTATCTATGGCCACAGTGACATTGCTTGTGCAATGACTAAAAACGCACGACACCAATCAGATGGATCAACAACAATTCATCCGCCCCGCTGTTTGACATCTTTAGTGCACTTGCAGAGTTTTTCCAAAGAAACAGCTCTCTCTGCAGACATAAACATTTTTCAAGTTGTCACAGACATCCCCGGAAAAGTTTTTAAATGTTAGGACCTGGACTTTAAA